AAGCCTGTCGGCAGTTTTTGACGCTATATTCTGGGCCGATAGGTCCACCGGCAAGAGATTACTATGGAGTATATTTCCGAGTTACATGGTGGTCTGCTTCACCTGAAGGGTCACTCCATCCAGCTTAGGCTTCGACCAGTTCGAAGTGCCAGATCTGTCTTTTCTGCGTTGATACTAAGCCCCACTTCGATTGCCCAAAGATGTATCACCCGTAGTATGACAAGCCTTTTCATTTGACACCTAATTTCTTGTAATCTAACGAACAGCCCACATTTTTTAATTTTTCGCACAGGTTGCAACCCTCTTCGAAAAATAAAACTTTACTGCAAATCTGAAGGCCAAGCCTTTTCATTTGACACCTAATTTTTTTATAGTGAATGAACTGTGCAAATCTAATGTCATAAACAAAAAATGCCCTCGCGTATTATACATAAATAATTTTTAAATAGCTGGCAACCCCACTCAAACAAAAAATAAAAACTTATTGCACATGCAGGGACCATATCCTTTCACTTGGTAGCTCAGCTTTTAGCCCAACAAACGGTGAAGATCTTATAATTTTTAAAAAGTGGCAACCCTACTCAAAAAGCAATACATTATTGAACATCTAAAAGCCGAGCCCTTTTATTTGACACCTTATTTCTTGTAATCCAAAAAACAGTGCGGATCTTATAGTTTTTTAGACAGGTGGCAACCCTTTTAGTAATTTAAAGTACTAAAGATAATACTCCTATCGATACAGATCATACTTAAACAATTTTGTCCAAATCCGCTTAGTAGTTTTTGAGTTCTTATAATTTTTTAGACAAGTGGCAACCCTTTAGGAATTTAAAGTACTAAAGATAATATCCTATCGATACAGATCATACTTAAACAATTTTGTCCAAATCCGCTCAGTAGTTTTTGAGAAATGTCTCGACTTTCCTTTATACTATGTTTGGAGATAGTAATTTTTAATTAGGTGGCAACCCTATTCAAAAAATGAAAGCTTTCGAACATGCGAAGGCCATGCCCTTTAATTTGGTATCTCGTTTTTTAATCCAACGAACGGCGAAAATCTTATAACTTCTTAAAAGGTGGCAACCCTATTCAGAAAAATAATACATTAGTGATTTGCTAGAGGCCAATCCCTTTCATTAAACACCTCAGCTTTTGTAAATTCTAAATTAAAAAGGTCACTCTCAGAGAATATAAGAGAAAATCTCGTCAAAATCCATTCAGTAGTTTTCGAGATTACCGCGTGTCAAGAATCTCGACTTTCCTTTATACTATGTATAGATAGATAGATATAGATTAAAGATGCAAACTTTACTCATCCACGAAGACTTAGTTAAACGCAATGTATGTATATGGACATGTTAATTTGTATCTTTTAAATTGTGTCAATGGACTAATTCGTTTGTTTTTGTTTTTTGTTAATATCAACAAAGGTATAACAATTTACTTTTGGCTACACCTCCCCTTATTTCGACTCCTTTCATCTATGTCCCCATATACGTAAATATAATGGATGCTTCGGAAATGATTACAAACAAATTTTCAAGACAATGAACAATCAACAAGATTCTCTGTGGCATAATAATTTGTGGTTGGGCATTGGAGAAATGAAAGAAATTGTGCTATTAGGGGAATAGCCCAAATGGCCATTATGCATTTGGGTCTGCATTTGGACCAAACAACAGCAATACGGACAACGGACCACAAAAGTTTCCACACATTTGCACATTAAGTGCATAACTCGTACAAGTGTTTAAAGCAAAAATACATTGTTTTGGGCTTTAGTCGATGGACATTAAAGACGACGCCCCAACTCAGCAATTAGTCGTCAATGCATTCACCGCCTGGACAGTGGATAATCACGAAAGTACTTTTTTCCTTTGCTTTTATTTGCGACTTCGACTTCGATTTGGCTCACCATTATGGCCGGCTTTTGAGACTTTGCGTTGAAATAAACAAATTTGTATGTTTTCCCCCGGGGTGAGTAAATATGTAGGTACATATTTAGTACATACATACTTTGCACAGTGAAAGCGCTACCCATTCATTGCACACTGCACTGCGTGTGGAGTTGTTGGACACGCGAAAAAGCGAGAGTAAATCAACTGTATCAACCCTTGAGCATGCGTCCACAATTGCCGCTGATAAGCCTCCAGGCGACACGTTGATATGCACTTACATACACATCTACTTTAATGTCTGTATGTATGTATGTAGTAACGTGCTCATACGCATTATTGTTGTACTTGTACGGTTAACATTTGGTTTCATCTACTAACTCAAATAAGTATCAAAACAAAAACAAACTACTAAAGAAAACCTTAACCATATTTGCGAAATTTAGAGTTGCCATGCGATTAGATTTTTAATCCATAAATTTCAGAAAGAGTGTCAACCACGATAATTCTCAGTTGCGTTGTATTGGATTGGTTTCGCGAACGGAAAAGACAAACTCGATTTGCCACTCAGACACACTAGTGGCATATTGCAAATGATGCCCAGAGAAGCTACAAATGATAAAAAAAAATCGTTTAGACTTTGGGAGCCCATATTTCTCTGCAAACATTCCAGGCTCTTTAAAGAATCTGAGTCAAGGGAAAGAGATTTGTATATACTCAATGCAAGCAAAAAAAAACGTATTTCAATTTGTGGTGTGCGTCTTTATGTTGTGGTAGTTCGCACCTCCCGTGCTTTAATATCGACATGCATAGTCTGTTGGGACAAATGGTTTTGAAGGGCTTTGCCTTCCCGATAACCACCTGAACTTCAATGCTGATGAAAGTAAAAGCTCTCTGGTCACTGGTCGTTGGGCGTTAACCATCGACGTTGTTGATTCTTCTTGAACCTCTATCCAGATTTAGCAAATCCAACAGAACATTAAGAGAAGCTAACGATGTTGGTGGCGCACACTCCTTTCCAGTCCAGTTAGTATAAAAATCGTGGATTTGACCATGGCTTTACGTCGTCGTACTACAACAGGGAATTCGGTTGTATGCACGAAGCACATGCACAGCCGACTTCGGAGCTTAAGTCTTCCTCAGAATTCTCCAAACTATCCGATCGGGCTATGACCTGCCAGAACTTATACCGGAAAGTGAAAGCTGTGGCCAGGGCCGTGAAGAGAAAATTCTGACCCCCTAGCCTGGCTGTGGTTGTGTAAGTATAAGGAACTGCTTTGATAGCTTCCCACCCACGATGGGGCAGAAGTATCTTGCATTTGCGAATGCCCCACTTTTCCTCACAATGTTCACCTGAAGTTCGCTTGGGTTAGAGTGAATCACAGGTGGTCTGTGACGCTTGTTTTAAGGGTACCCTTTCATGCCAACTCGTCAGCTGTGCAGTATCTCCCACACACACCTTTCGGATGGCTCAAACCCATCTTTCAAATCGTTCATCCCTCGAGGGAAAGTATATAAAGGAAAAGAGATTTTGAATACATAAATTTCAGAGATGTAGTCAGCGCTTACAGCGTAAACTTCGAGAATTTTAAAGTGTCCAGACGCTGAGCTTGCTAGGTTGTCCTGTGACCGATTGTAACCCGTGCTTTGGTAGTTTTGTTATGTTCAGCATGATGTTAAGTACCGATTAGTTCCAATGCACTAAAAATACCAATGAAATTAGTCCGTTGTAGACTCGCTTGCAAACTAACTAATTCAGCTATCTCTAGCGAACGCTACAACACGAGAACTCCGTTGAACATAGTAGGCTTAAGTCATTGAGCCTAGAAATCATCTTGATCTGTTACCAAGCACTTGGCCCTGCCAAAATGGTGCAGACGAGCACTTCCAATCGAGAGGAGGCTGGCGTTGGGGCTCTTTTACATCCCAGTGAATAGTAGCAGTTGTGTCTTATTAGTATTTACGGCAAAACCAATGTTAGCCGGCCATTAGGTTATCAGATTTAGATAGGTAGGTGGCCTTGGGTCAGATCGTACATAAAGGTGGTCCAAAAACCTGTAACCAGAAGTTCTACGTCGTCCATCGGGCTCTATTTTCCTGCTTTTCCAATAGATCGTTAAAAGCCACGATACCGAGAAGCGGTGATACGACCCACCTCGGGGCTCCTCCGTACACCCTACACTCTTAGTTGGCGCTATCCCACGCTGCCGTTTCAGGCCATTTTCAAGACCGTACAAGCTTATATCGGAATTTTTTCGGAACTTCCGTGAAATTTCGAGATTATTTTTTTTAAGTTTTTTGAAAGGTTTTATCTAACATTTTCATTGTCTTTTGAATTTCTTTTTGGATCTTTCGGTAATTCTGGCGGCACATTTCGCATTTTTTTCGGGATTACTTTGGACTTTTCGGGTTCTATTCGTTTTTTTTTTGATTCGGAAATTTTCGGTATTTTCGATATTCGTTTACGTCAAAATTGTAGCCTTAATTTTCTTGCCGTAAAATATATTTGAAAAATAGTCTAACGAAACAGCACATTTCAAACCATCTGGCAACCCTTGAAACATGTGGAAAACACATAAAAATCAAACTTTCATATTTTTTCTGCAGACCACGAGTCAACAGCGTATATTTAAATATTTCTAACACACACACATATACATATATGTACATGTACACACTCTCTTGGCCGGCAACTGTTTGCAGCCAAATCCCTTTGATCGCGGCGCAACAAGCATTAGTGCCGCTCGACAAAGTCATCCTTCCGATTGGTAGTCTCTCGCAAACTCGCTTCGCCGCTACAGCATTGGGTGGGTTGTGTAAGGGTGGCGCGACTATGATAACCGGTATTGGCAGCGACATGCCACACACACGCACATTATGGACACACTAAGTGCTGCGCGAACATTATTACTGTAGTTATTGTTGTAAGCTAGAGACCAACCCCCTGCGGTAATCAGCAGGATTTGAGATGGCGCCGTCACGACCGCCACCAATACGCAGAGGGTTGTACTGCTGAGATGGCCCATGAGCGCGCACCCGCTACAATATATATTCGAAGAGTTGATGTGATGGTCGAATGAATATAAAACTAATGAGTACCCTTCGATGGCTGTTTAGTTGGTAAAGAAGCGCGCTACGGGAAACAACGCAATAGAAAAACGAAAGATCACACAAAAACATAACAACAAAATATCGATATACGCGTGCTAAAAATGCCTACTATGGAAAGTGAAACGTAACGTACCGTTACTGGGTCGTTAAGTGAAAAAGTATTGCGTGGCGCGCCGTGTTAGCGACCAGTGTCCAAAGAAAGACTGTTGCAACAAAAAAAAAAGTGTAAAACAGCAGAATGTCTTCGTGCTATAGCGGCTTCGATGATCGCTCTTTTGAATTTGAAGACTCTTCATACGACAGTGGTTACGAGAAAAGCTTCGAAACAGACTGCAATGTAACGCCGCGTAAACTTTTCTTCGATAATGGCGCCGATTGCTATGCCGCCACCGCCGACTCACCACTAGCAGCCAGCTGTTACAATACCAACGGCGTTGGAGCTCCAGTAGCCTCATTTTCAGCGCTACTCGATACGAGCAGTAATCACAGCACACGCAGTGCGCGCACACTAGTCGAACATGTGATCAGCAAAGCGCCACTACCGACGGAAACCGAATTCGCGCCCAAGCTAACATCAACGCCGACAAAGAATCCCGGTGGCGGCGCGGCCGATGGCAATGGTGATCAGCCAACTGAACCGCGTCCCAAGCGCAAATATGCCGTCGGCAAAAATCGTGTAACGCGTTCGCGCAGCCCCACACAAGTGGTGCGCATCAGAAAGTTTCGACGCATGAAAGCCAACGATCGTGAACGCAATCGCATGCATATGTTGAACGATGCGTTGGAGCGGCTGCGCGTCACGCTGCCCTCACTGCCAGAGGAGACAAAGCTGACGAAGATCGAGATACTACGCTTCGCACACAATTACATATTCGCGCTCGAGCAGGTGCTGGAGAGTGGTGGCACAATTAATTTGGACCTGGAGAAGTTGCAGAATTTCACGCTCAGCGGCGAACGTATCACCAAGGAGTTATTCGATGCGATTTTCGTCAATCCTCAACCGTACACAAGCATCTTTAGCATGGGTTGCAGCAGCAGCTTTGCTGGACGCGTGCCATATCCGCAACAGGCGACCACGATGATGCCCACCGCAGGACACGCCTTCCTCGAGCAACAACAGCTGCTGCAACGTGGTCGTCCGCCGCAAGGTTATGCCTACGGCAGTGATGTTCGCCCCTATAATGTGCAGCATGAAACGCATAATCCGGCAATGCATCCACATTTTTCGCAGGAGAAGTATGAATTGTATAGGAGCACCTTCGAAGCAGCAGCCAATATGCGGCCCACATCTGCCGCCATCTGTGCGGAGGAGACGAAACAAGCGCACGTCATAGCGGCGGATTGCCAAACGCAGCTGGGTTACAACCAGCGACCAACGAATACCACGAATTGCTATCTGCCGGAGGATCAGTTGACGGCCGTGAATGCAGCAACACCACCCATGGTGCCTCAGCGCACGGCAAGAGTGCACGCGCAGGCGTCTATGTTGCATCAGAATAGCAGTTTCTACACACAAACACCGCCTTGGATGGATTATACCGAGGTGATGGCGACGAACAGCGGCAACAACAGCGGTTTCGAGCAGTATACGAGCGTATAGCAGTGGCTGCTAGGAGCGCGTGTAGTGTGCATTAAAACCGGGAGTATTCGGGTAGCTCAAGTGAGTGAGTTGAAAGTCATAGGTTTTTAGTTAGGTATCAAGCAAGCTATAGGTGCACTGATGGTGATACTTCGATTGATTTTGGGTTGTATGGGTGATTTTTGGGATTGAGTACCTAGCCACAGCGCTGCGGTGCCGCTAGATTCTGGAAGTCGCTAAGTTAGATTTCGNTTACAACCAGCGACCAACGAATACCACGAATTGCTATCTGCCGGAGGATCAGTTGACGGCCGTGAATGCAGCAACACCACCCATGGTGCCTCAGCGCACGGCAAGAGTGCACGCGCAGGCGTCTATGTTGCATCAGAATAGTAGTTTCTACACACAAACACCGCCTTGGATGGATTATACCGAGGTGATGGCGACGAACAGCGGCAACCACAGCGGTTTCGAGCAGTATACGAGCGTATAGCAGTGGCTGCTAGGAGCGCGTGTAGTGTGCATTAAAACCGGGAGTATTCGGGTAGCTTAAGTGAGTGAGTTGAAAGTCATAGGTCTTTAGTTAGGTATCAAGCAAGGTATAGGTGCACTGATCGTGATATTTTGATTGATTTTGGGTTGTATGGATGATTTTGGGATAGAGTACCTAGCCACAGCGCTGCGGTGCCGCTAGATTCTGGAAGTCGCTAAGTTAGATTTCGAATGCTAAGAATTTTTTATTAGATTCCGATGGGACATAACTCATCTCTCAATCTCCAATTTCAGGTTACATCTCTTAAGCTTTCCTATTGCATACTTTTATGATCTCCTGCTATTTATTTTGAAACTCTTGGCGGACGAGTTTTAGCGTAGCGATTTCTAAAATTTTGCTTTGGAAAATCAAAGTTGAAACGCTGCAAAGGATCATGCATATAACACCGGAATCGATGAATTACAAAAAATGTTCTGCAGACCGTAGCGAATATCACTTTTATAAAAGAGAAACTCTTTTTGAAGCATTTTTATTTTTATTTTATTTTATTCGGTCAGATTATAAGTACTGCCTTTCCGATTAAACTTGATCGCTCATTTTCACCTTTTTCGAAAAATGTTCAGTCATATTTTTAAGTTTTTTTTTTGCCGAAATATTAGTTATCATTGATTTTAGACTTTCAGATTTTCGGTGACTTCTGTTTTTATTAAGTTTAATAGATATTTCGGAATCAATATTTTCTTTTGTGGTCTTTTTGATTTTGTTGTTGTATTTGGATTGAATTTGTTCGGAATTTACTGCGTTTTTTATGATCGTTTTATGTTTGTGATCGAAGGCCGATTATATTTCGAGCTCTAACCGCCAAAATAACGTAAGCGACATTTTTTTCAAAATTTTATTTTTGATGCAGAAATATTCTCTATTCTCAAAAAGAAAATGTTGAAAAAAGGCGCTTACGTTATTTTGGCGGTTAGGGCTCGATTTGTTCGACGAATTTAAAATCCTTATTTTTTTAGCATTTGTAAAAAATATAATGAATCGTGATCATTCAATTTTCTCGAGGTATTTCATTAGATACTTTTTGAAATTTTTCGGAAATTTTATAATTTAACGGTATATTCTAGAACTTCGCAGCAATATTTCGGGATATTTCGTGACTTTTTGTATTTTATTAGCGATCTTTAAGAGTTATACGGCAATTTTCCGATCTAACGGTAAACTTTAAGATTTCCTTGTGATTACTAAGATCTTTTTCGGTATCATTCGGTATTTTTATGTTAGGCAGGAATTTTCAGTTTAGCGGTATATTTGCGAGATTTGTCAATATTTTTCTGGATATAACGGGATTTTTTTGCCACTTTTCCTTACTCATTAGCATCCTTAGTGAAATTTTCTAGTTCAACTGTATAGACATTTATTTGGGTTTTTTTCAGAACTTTTTCGGAGTTCTTAGTTATTATTCGTATTTTATAAGGGGCCTTTGGTTGTTTCTCGGGAATTTAAATGGTATATATATTTTAGAAATTTTCTCGGTGTTTTAAGTTTCTTCCAGACCTTGCAATATTTTTGGTTCCTTTTCGTATTTTATTAGAGATTTTTGGAAATTTAATTTGAAAGTTCAGTTTCAGCAATATAATTTCGAGATTT